ATATCTTTATATATATATATATATATATATATATATATATATAGTTTCGATTCACTTACACATCTAACTGGTTGCAAACATGATTAAAAAATTGTAAATTGTAAATTAAAAAACATGTACGGTCTACGTTGAATACATGTAGTTATATGAGCCAAAAAAAATATATTAAATGTTCTAATCAAACACGAGCAAGAACACAATCTAATATAAAATACAAAAATCAAAATTAAAATTTACAGCTGAATCTTCTGTCACGTCAATAAAGACATTTCTTTTAAACGTACCTTCTGAAAATACAATAAAATTTATTTATTTTTATAAAAGAAAATCATTTTTAAATATTTTTATAAAAGAAAATCATTTTTAATATTAATTTTATTAATAATTTTTAAATGAATATTATTACCCAAAAATACTAAGGGAGAAGCCTAATAATGAATTTGTTGCTTTAGGTTATATATCGCCATAACCAATTTCAGTACAACGGCAAGTGTAGTTTGGTGGTGGTTATATTTTCGCATTATAATCCATCATTTTGTACTACGAACCCCCAATAATTTTACAGCTTCCAAACTCAACTATGGCTTACACTCCCTCAATCTGTTAACTTCCCATGCAAATTCATCTTAGAAACCGTACAACACCCAAAATTCACCTCAAAACCTTCACTTCCGCCTCTGAAATCTCAGATTTCGACCCAAAATAATCCGGGCAAGACCCGTTTTCCAGGTCCGTGCAGCGTTCTATGAACAATGGGAGAAGGAGCCAGAAGGCGGTGGCAGAGGAAGAGAACCCTAAAGAATCCGGAAATCGAGAGCTGGAAGAAAGCTTTGATGAATTCTTTTTACGGGACCGATCGTGGGTTGAACGCAACGAGTGAGACCAGAGCTGAGATCGTTGAGCTTATAACTCAGCTCGAGTCGCAGAACCCAACACCAGCACCGACCGAGTCTTTGCCTCTGCTCGATGGCAAATGGATTCTCGCGTAAATTCTCTATTTCAACAAAAAGGAACCATGAAATCCATTCATCTATGGCGGATCTTGATTTTTCTGCATGTACACATCGTTCCCGGGTCTGTTTCCATTGCTGTTGAGTGGTCAATTGCCATTGGTTAAGATTGAGGAAATAACGCAGACGATCGATGCTGAAAATCTCACCGTCGAGAACTCTGTTCTGATCTCGAAACCATTGGCTTCGAGTTCTATAAGCACAAATGCTAAATTTGAGCTTCGAAGTCCCAAGCGTGTGCAGGTACATTGTGCTAGTTATTTGCAATATTAGAGAAGGGAACTTAGACAAAATATAAATAACAATAAAAATTAGAAAGAACAAAATCAAATTAAATTAAAATTAGGAGTTTAAATAACTATTATATATAATAATAATAATAATAATAATAAAAAATAGGGACAGTGCCCCTTGAACGAAGCACAGCTTCCTCCCTGTTAGTGATTGAGGCTAAGTTTCACACTTTCACTTCTATGTTTGCTAAAGGGTAAACTATTCATATGATTACTAAATTTTTAATATGATTACTAAATTTTTAATATATTATCATTTTTATTACTGAACTTTTAAACTTACATTACCGTCACTAAATTTTTAATTTGTTTCCGTTACGGTTATTTTTTATAGCTTCTCTCAAAAAAAGATCATGTGACACATTAAAAAATCTTAAGTCTGACGACCATCACTCCTCTTTTTATCGTCATTTCCATTGTCATTTAATGATTTCTTTGATTGAAAATATCATCAAACTACTCTTGTTCTCTTTCTTTCGGTTCAAATTTGTCACAGAATCTTTCAATCTCATTGAATCCCAATAAAAATTAAAAGTTAATTTTTTTTGATATGTCATAGTTTACCATTAGATCAGCACTTGATTGGAAATTGTTGTTCCTAAATAGGAAAGAATTGGATGTTGTTGGTAAAACTACTGCGGTAGAAGAAGATACTTACCCTAGATCGAGTTACCATCAAATATTGAGAGAGTAAATTATCTAAATTTAAAATAATAGGGTTTTGTTAGGTATTTAATATAAAAAATAATTTTGTTTAATTTAAATTAATAAGACCTAAAATATTATTAGATCAAAAATTTTGAGAGATCCCACTCCTACTCTCCATGTACCTCCATCTCCGTCTAACAATAACAAATCATTTATCATACACATTGTAAATGTAATAAAATCTAATATTTATTAATTTTAAAGTTGTACAGAACACATTACATTCTAATCGATAATAGGTTTAATAATAATATAATAAAAAATTTGCTATCAAGATAAACAAATTTGAAAAATATTGGAATATGATTCATGATGTTCTTATTTATAATCTCATAAGTCTTTTACTAGTTATTAAGTTTGAATTCGTAAATAACAAATGTAATGCTAACTAATTATAAGTTCAATAACATAATAATATTTAAAAGTAAAAAAAAAAATCTTATCATTATATATAATTATAATTTTATATTTTGTAATTATTAAAATAACATTGTTTTGTACAAACAGATAATACTATAATGAGGTTACGCGTTTAAAATAAAATTATAAATTAAGAATAAAAAATAAACAATACTATAAAAATCCCCCGGTATTTTTTGTTTCTTCAACTTTGTCCTTAAAATTGTTACGTCATGTAAAAAAATTGACTAATAATTGATTATTAGTTAATCATCTAAAAAGCGTTTATTTGAAATAAAACAAAACAAAATGTTATGATTTATATTGTCAAATAAACTTTAAGAACATTATTGGGTAAGTTTATTTTATATCAAAATGTCTTTTAGTTGATCTATTATTTTATTAGCTTGTGCTATTTTTATCCAATTGAATCATCGAATTAAGAAATTATATCTTTTTGACAAACAAATATTTAGTAAACCATTTTAATTAATAAATTATGTAAAATATTAAAATGGTTTGAATCATTAACGTTTGTTATCTAGGTAACGACTATATGACATGGTACGTTATGGTAGTTGACGTGACATTTTATTTAATACTTTAATACATTTCAATTAGATGAATACACATTTTATCATCTTATTAGTGGAAAATAACGGTAAATATAAAATAATAATAATAGTTAATCATTGTAGCAAGCTAAGGTCTTATTATATTATTGATAAAAAATAATATTTATGTTAAAATTAATAATATTTATTTTATAATATATAATTATTATAATTAAAATATAAATATTATAAGAATATATTTATTATATCTTAAAATTTAGTAATTAATATAATATTATTATCATTTTACTTTTTTTTCATTAAAATTTTAATTTTGTAATATAAATTATAAATAAAATTAATATATTTTGGTTAATTTTATAAATACATTCTTATAATATAATTTAAAATTTATGATTAATTTTGACTAGATTTGCTCCAAATATTATAATTTTCCAGTAATAAAATAAGTATTTAACTTGATGTAATGGTTAGAGGTTGGATTTCCTATAGATCCCTAGTACAAAACTTATTACTGGCACATCATAGTTTACGAGCATTTTCATTATTAATAAGATGATAATATATGTCGTCATATTCTATGGGGATAAATTGTTTAATTTTAAAATAAATTACGTTTTAAAAAATAATTAAACCGTCAAAACTTCAATTCTAAAATCAAGACTTAATTCAATTAATTTTAAAACTACCAGTAGTCTAAAACATATTTAAACCATCAAAGGCAAGGGGCCATTGTGTTCATCCCTGATTTTATTTGATAATATTTCTTTATTAAAGAAAATGCCAGGTTAAATGACCATTACCTAGTTAGTGACCGTAACATCAATGGTTAAAACAGAAATTAATTAAAATTTTAAAGACTGATTTTATTATAAATTGATAATATTTCTTTAATTTTAAATTTTAATTTTAGTCATCATCATCAGTTGGCACCTATCATTGTCGTCGTCGCGAAATGATCACATATCTATTCTCATCCATCCAGTGATTAACCGTAATCTTTATCGTCACCATAATCTCTAAATCCCCAAAATCTTAAATCTTCAACTTTATAATCCTAAGTTCTAATTCTCAATTTATAAAATTCTTAATTTATAAATTATCGGTGCGATGAGACGTTCATAATCAGACGACAACAGGGGATGAAGGGAGGATTTGCACGTTCATATCTTTATGAACTAGGGACGAAGGGAGGGTTGCGCGGGAAAATTAGGAGTATTAATTTTCTTTTTAAAAAATGGTTCTTTAAATAGTATTTTATTTCAAAAAGTATAAATACAACATGTTTCAATTAAATGATTTTAACGGATGAAAAGTTAAGTAGCTATTTTGAGTGAAAAATTATTTAAGCATATAAAGTTAACTTAGAGAATAAATTGGGTTTGTATGAACGCGGATGGAACCGTCTCGCCTTTAACTTGGTGATCTATTTCGTGATTCCTCTAGTTCTAATTTGTCGACTTTCAATAAGCAAATCCAACACTCATCGGTGCTAAAAGTTGAATTATGGAAGATTTAAATCTTGCACAGGATCATGGGTTTTAACGTTTGATGGTGCAAACAGATAGTGAAAATACTTATAAGTTGTTTTCGCCTCTATCTGAATCTATTTCTTTCACTTTGGTGAGGACGATTACTGATCTTTATACCAACTTTTGATTCATAGAATTTCAGAAAATTGATCGTGAAACACTATTGCAGCGAATTTCATTATTAAGATGGACTTCTCCTCAAATGGATCAATTAGTGTTTTTTCATCGTTCTCAACACAACTGTTTCGTATTTTAGATAGAGATATTGGTGCCCCCCCCTTACCTGTGCGTAAAGGTTTAATGTAATTGCTTAGTTTGCTTCTTTCCACTAAAAAAACATTTCTTGAAGTACGAAATTATGAATTTTTATATTGTACAGGGGGCGAAACTGTTATTAATTCGTTTTCCCTTTTAGTTTTGCGGGAGAATTTTCTCATCTCCTTACCTTTCACCTCAACAAACACAATTCACTGTTTTTAGGTTTTAGGGTTTTAAATAAACAGGAGGGTGAAGACTCTATAGATTCCAAGCGAATACTTTACCTTTTCTCGGATGGCAATTTTGAAGAGACTTCTCAGAATTACTGCTCCTTCATGGCGAAAGATCGCCTCTCCCAAAGCCCTAACCCCTTCAGCTGCGCCCTCACGTCATCTCCTTCCTCCTCTCTACCACCGTAAGTTTCTTCTATTTGTTTTTGGAATTTATGGAATGAAATTGATGTTTGGAATTTAGTTGAATGGAAGCTTCTTCGTAAAAATTTGATTGGTTATACGATGATTATCATTTTTCTCCAATGGATCATTTTTCTAAATTTGGTTATTTCGAGAAAATTTTGTTTTTGTGTATAATTTTGATGCTTCTTTGTTGATTCGTGGGCTGTTGACTGTTAGTGAAGCTTTGAACTATGGGATTAGGAGATATAGTGTTTATATCATTGTGGGAAACACTTTCCGTTTTGATCTTTTCGACTCGAGTTCTTATTTTCGGGTATATGCAGGTTTCCCTCGGAGATCAAATTTTACTTTCGGATCAGATGTCCAGAAGCTAAGGTTGGTGGCTTCTGTTTCAGGTTCATACTCTATACTTCCTGCTCTCTTAGCTGGTTTGCTTGGAGCAGGAATGATAGAGACGGCGTATGCTGATGCTGATGAGGTTTGTGATATTTATTACTTCTTGGTATCCGATGCTAATGTTTTCCAGAGTTTCTATTTTTGTCTCCTCTTTCACCTATTATATTTGTTATGATTTAAGCACCTTAGACTATGTCATGTCTTGCTCAATACTAACAAAAGTGTTTCTCCAAACGTGTACCATAAGCTTACACTTGTTATGATGGATTGGAGCTTTATTATTTGAATTGATTTTGAAGTGAAACTAGTTTTTTGCAGGTCTCCTCCAAACCTCCTCTTCCATCAGAACCTCCTGCAAGTCATGTCAACCTTGAGGAAACTGCCAAGAAAGAGAGGCAGCGAATTGAACAGAGGCTTAAAGATAAAGGAATTAGATATGGTTCTTATCCTCGGTTTACTGTTGCTGTCAAGGGCCAAAAGGTTGTTTCATTTTGTTTCAGTTTATTTCTTTTTCTTTTTCTCTTGGATGCTGTAGCCTCATTCATGGATTAGAAGTGGAGGTTCACGGCGATGATCCTAATGATCTGTTTGTTCTTCCTGATGATTTATAGTGTTCTTTTCTGGGTTAAATTAAGTAGTTCATTTTCTGAAAGCATGTTTAACTGCTAATTGTCATCTGTAAATTGGTTATGTATGTATAACTGGATTCATGATATTTATGCTCAGCTCAAGTTTTTTTAATAGGAGTACACTTGCTTTAGGTTACAATCAAGTTCCAGATTCCTCCTGGTTGTGAAGTTGCACAGTTGATTGCAAACCTTGTTTCACATCTTGGACTGAAGGTTGAAGAGCATGGTGGTGGTTCAGATGGGCTACTGCGTGCATGGGACAGGTTGTCAATGATAAAGTTCTTTTCAAACCTCATCTAAAGCTGCATTTATGTTGGCATTAAAATCATGTGAAGTTCCAACCTTTTTATTGTTTCAGTTCAGTTGCCTGGCAGCTGACTCTTAATCCACTGGTCAAACAGAAGGAAACTGGAGTAAACGAGGGGCATTCAGTATATAGAAGTGGAGACGAAAGGGATTTATGCATCCTCATTTTCCGTTCACTAATAAGCTCTGACAAAGCGGTTGGTCTTAATTTCTTACAGCTTCTGACAATGTTTTAGTATGAGTGAGATTGCGTTATTTTCTTAATGCTTCACAGAGTAACTGTTTTATCATGCAAAATATCATAGGAAATTGAGTTTATAAAACAAGGAAGTTTGAATCAGAAGGAGCTTGATGCTTTGGTCTCTGCCTTAGAACTAGCTGGTGGAAGGTTTGCACAAAGTAGCACCTTGGTAAACAAACCGAGGGACGGTTCTGCACAGATGCCTGCACAAAAATCAATCTCTAGCCTGGAGGCCATGGGGGTAAGAATTTATGGGCTTGATGAGCCACATCAGTATAAATCATACAGTGAGATATCATGGGACAATATTGCTGGATATGATCAACAAAAACAGTATGTAAAAGACTCAATATCCTTTGTTTTTCCGTTTTCAATCAAACATAGATTATGCAGAGACAGTGTTCTGTAAAATTTATATTCTTCGCATACAACTACTCATTTTGTTAGAGAAATAGAAGATACAATTTTGTTGGCTCTAAATAGCCCTCAAGTATATGATGATATTGCACGTGGAACTCGCCAAAAATTTGAGTCTAATAGACCCAGAGCTGTGCTCTTTGAAGGACCTCCAGGTTTGCTTTTCAACCCAGAAAGAAACATTGACTCATGTTCCTGGAAACACAATTTTGAACTGATGTTTATGTCAAAATTTACATATTTCAGGTACAGGGAAGACATCTTGTGCTCGTGTTATTGCTAATCAGGCGGTGAGCAGCAATTTTCCTATCTAGAACATTAATGGTTATAACATGATTTTTAATTACATATTAAAATTGTTTTGTTGCTTAGTATAGTTCACTTTATTCTTTGTAGAATAAGTCATATAAATAAGATAGTTTCTACCGGAGATTGTTTTATTCAAATCTGTAATGATCTGAAGCATGCTCATGCTTTTCAGGGTGTCCCATTGCTGTATGTGCCACTAGAGATTGTCGTGTCAAAGTACTATGGTGAAAGTGAACGCTTACTGGGGCAAGTATTCTCTCTTGCCAATCAGCTCCCCGATGGTGCTATCATATTTTTAGATGAGGTAAATGAAGCAAGTAATGATTAATCAACAAAGCCTTCCCGTTTATATGGACCACTGTTTTCCTTGTTTTTACCATCATCAGTTTGCATTTCATTTGTATTAGATTGTTGACAAGACGGCCTCTATTTCAGGTTGATTCTTTTGCCACTGCTCGTGGTGGTGAAATTCATGAAGCTACACGTCGAATTTTGTCGGTGCTATTGCGACAGGTTAAAGTGGATTTTCATGTGGTTTTGGTTTCTAATGAAAATGCGCCTCTTAGCTAGCTTGTTAAAAACCCTAACTTTTTTGTTTTAGGTTTTAGGAGTTTCTTTGCTCGTAATTTCAGCATGCAATGTCCTTTACCTGAAAATATTGCAATATCTGATAGAGTGCAGGTACGGTGCCATTAATGAAAATGTATTATTGTTTTTACAGATTGATGGATTCGAACAGGACAAGAAAGTGGTTGTCATTGCTGCCACAAATAGAAAGCAAGATCTTGATCCTGCATTGATTAGGTAACAAAGATGCAGTCTCTGTCCCTTTCGAAGAGGCTAATCGTTTCATAAGCCAATGAAGTGTTTCTGAATCGCACATTTGTGTTTGCAGTCGTTTTGATTCAATGATTGTCTTCGGTCTTCCTGATGAGCACAATCGGCAGGCAATAGCAGCTCAGTATGCCAAACACCTTACAGAAGCAGAGTTAGCTGAACTTGCTCGAGTCACCGATGAGTAAGTCCAACATTTTGTGATCTTAATTTCTTAAAAGTAGATTACATATATTTTGTTCTATATGCATCGTTTAAATCATAATCAACTGAGGATTGCCTATCAACATATCCAGTATGTCTGGTAGGGACATCCGGGATGCATGCCAACAAGCAGAGCGGTCATGGGCATCAAAGGTATTAGTTATCAAACTGCAAGTATCAAATATGTCTCGATTAAAATATACCATGCAGTATTTACATTCATTCATGGTTTCGGCAGCTAATTCGAGGACAAGCAAAGAATGACAAAAAACCACCACCCCTCCCACCCTTGGAGGAATACATTAAAAGTGCCATGAACCGAAGAAAGGCTCTATGCAGCACGGCAGAGCAGAGAAACCAAGACCATAGCCGTGGTAAGCAGAAACCTCAGTTAGATTTGTTATCTTCGCGATCAACAGCAGCAGTGTAGGTGATTATGTAGAGACAATTATGGTAATTATCTGCCATTCATAGATTTATCATTTAATATAATTATTAGTACATTACATAGATATAGATGGCAGCTTTATCGTCACCACCAACTTTGATAGATAAACCAAAGATTATTTCATTAATTGTAGTGAAACTTCAGAAGAGTAAGCTGCACTGCAACAAGCTTAGCAGCAAAGCACCTTGTCTAATTACGATTTTAGTCCTATGTTGAAAATTTAGGATTTAATTTGGAATAATTGAGCCTCTTCTTTTAATACTATTATTGTGTCTAAATTGATCATATCTACAGTAACTTATTGTTGAAGTGATAATATGGATTTTTAAAGGGAAATTATTTGGTATTCTTAATTTTGCCTATTTAAATTTTAAATTTTAAAAAATGTTAAAATCTAAACTTAACCCTAAACTATAACCCTAAGCCCTATAATAATAAACCATCAATCTGAAATAAAACACAGCATTCAAATAGATAAGATTATGTAGTTTAAATTTTACATAATTTATGTATAGAATATTTTTTTTAATTAGTCGTGTTTGAATGTAATCAATAATGTTCAGTAAAAAAATCTATAAATAATCAGTAAATTTACATGTTTGTCAAATGTACTAATTTTTTTTTTAAAGTTCCATTTTATCAAATTATCAATATTATAGCTAGGGCGTGCAAATTCAGATATTGAATTTGATCCGATAAAAAAATTTGATATTCGAACTTTTGATTAGTTAAAATAGCGATACATATTCGAATGTAAAATTTAATTTGACAAAAAAATAGTTTTTAATTTTATTTTTTACTTTATACAACTTATTTGATACTTATATTATATTTTTATATATATTTAATTATTCATACATAATAAATAATTAAATATCTTAATTTTTATTGGGTTAAATCTTTAATGTGTTAATGGGTTACTCATTTATTGGACTATATGCTATATAAAATCTAAAGACCCATTTTTTCTTCAAATCTTCGGATAATCCGAAATTGTAATTTATCCTATTTGTTTTGATTATATGAAATTTTTTTCAGATATTTGATTTGAATTATCCGAAAATATTTACATTTTTGGATCGGATCATCAAATCAACAGATCGAATATTTTTGCACACCCCTAATTATAGTATTAGAAAAATCAAATAAAAGATTAATAAATAAAGGACTAATTCAAAATTTTGGGCAATAAAAAGTTAAAAAGATAAAGACTTTATTTTTACCTAACAGAGGAGTCCCTTGACGCGCCATCAGCTCCACGCTTCCTTTTTCTGTTATCTCCATCTCCAACGACAAACGAAGCGATCTGGGACTGAGTTCGCAACATCATCCGAGCCAATTCTGTCTCCGATTCCGCCCTCCGTTTCTCTGACTCACACCTAGAAGCTTCCATCGCCTTGACCATCTCCAGCCCGGCCAGCTCCATCCTAAGAATCGAATCAGAGAATACCCGAAGACGTTTATTGGCTTTTACAGCAAAGATACCACTAATATCGTGGACACAAACCCTATCAACTGTTTTCCTTTGTCTTTGTTGTGGGGTTAATATTATTATTAATCGAGTGGAACCGATGTTGTGTGTAATAAATCTGTTATGTTCCATTACATGTTGGTGTTTTTCTCATCAATCTTCATAGACTTGTGTTCATTGTTGCTATTTGGGGTTTAGTCATTTAGGGTTAATGTTCATTGATTTCTAGTTATACATGATGAAAGAATTTTCTGCAACACGACAGGACAAGCGTGCTTTATTGTGTACCTAAATTTCCCTTGAATAACAATTATACTTGAAAGATGAGAGTGCTGGTGCACATATTTGCACAAAGAATCAAGGGAAGTGTCCGTTATGTATTTGCATTATTCTACGCATTCGAAAAGAGTTACTAAAAGAAGACATTAGTGGGGTATCATGGAACCCTAGTAGCCATATGGCAGAGAGAAAACCAATTCTGAGAGTAAGATGAGCATATAGCATAATAGAAAAGGGTTTGCAGTGTTATCAGGGCGAATGCAAAGGGGCAACACCCGAGTTAGGAAGGCCTCACAGGGAGACAATTTGTTGAAGCTTGATTGGAGCCGTCTCTCATGAAACCCCCATGGTGTATGTGCACAAGAGATTAGAAGTGTAAATGAATCAAACTTTAACGTATAAGATTATATATGTATATATGTTTGTTAAAAATTTTAATATTATGTTTATTTATGTTTAATTTGTTTAGTATTTCTAAATATATTTATTTATATTTGTTTGTTTATTTCTATATTTTATTTATAAGCTAAAGATTAATAGTTAAATTATGCTATTAATCTTTAAATTTTATAGTTTAAACTCTAAAATTTATCATGTATTCAATTTAATATCTACTTTCATTAATATTTAAAATAAAAAACTGAATAAATTAGCTTATAACATTTACAAATGAGTTTTTAAACAAATTATTTGTGAATATAAATAAATTTAACATACTTTTATTTAAAATTATTCATCTATTAAATGAGCATTAAATTTTTATTAATAAACATATATTTAATTTAGTAAATGAATATAAATCAATATTATATAAATGGTTTATCAATTATTTAGAAAATGTTCAATTCATTCTGCAATGGGTCTACTACTTTCATAGGGGGAACATATACCTTATCTGAAATCTAAAATTTCTTTAACTATTTATTTATTTTATTAATTTTATCCATCATAAAATTTTATTTTTTATCTTTAAAAAGATTTATATTATTAATTTAACCGTATTTATTTCCACCTTACAAGATATGAAAGCTTTGGTGGAGAGAGAGAGAGACATTCGGACTGTCGAACTTGGTTGATCAGCTTTTGTAGTTAAAGCCAACTTTTTTCTTCTTCTTTTCTGAATAATTGCGGATTAGATGCTATGACTGAGACTAACAATGAGTGTTCACCTTCACTCCCTTTGTCCTTTATCATTTAAATTTTTAGATTAAATAAATTATAATCTTTAAACGAGAGTTTGTTGAAGAAGAAGAAGAGTTGTTAATGAATTGATTGATGATTTCGTGCCCCCATAAACCTTTTTCCCACTTGTTTGCCTTGTGGCCTTCCTCCATTTGATCGTTTCTTTTCTTCCATTGTTGTATTTATTATGTTTCCTTCTCGTAATACATGGAGTGAAAGATAAGAAAACGATTTATAAACGTCTAATCTCTCCCTCTCTCTCTTCTCTCTTTGTTGTTTGCCCGTAATGGCAGTATGCACCAGTTAGCAGTGCAAGGAAAAGAGGGTTGGGGAGTTCTCCATCGGGAAGGTAAAGCTTTGCATACACAGCCCACACAGGCAGTCATCTGCATAATAGTAGTAGTGCCATGAAACTTTGAATGCCATATTTTCTCTCTCTTTCTTGTCGTCCAAACAAAGTGCAAAAAAAGCTCGAGAGAACTAATGCTCTTCTGTTAATGACTTGGAAGATAAACAAACAAAAAAACTCCCATTTTCCAAAGGAAATATGAGCAGGCTTTGCCAGAAATTCACTCACTGCTTGCTGCTGCTGCTACCACTATTTAGGTGTTTTCCTATGAAAAGCCTGTTTCTTTGTAGCATGAATCTCGGGAGAGTTCTTGAGATATAAACAATCTTTAGGGCAAAGGAGAGAATAAATTGCGTACGAAAGAGAAAGAAAAGGAAGAAAGATAAGATACTGGGAGAGATAATGGAAGGTGGTTCCAATAGCACTTCTTGCATGATGGCTTTTGGACACAATGGTAATGTGTTGTGTCCTATGTCGATGTTGCATCATCCCATGACTTCTCATCACCATCATCATCATAATACAGATTCATCAGGATCCTTATTTCTTCCTCTACCTCACTCTAACAATCAAGACCAGAACCACAATAGCAGCAGTGGTTCTCCTATGATAACTGTCGTTTTGGTGTCAAAATAAATTTTTTATTCTCAATCAATAAATAAAAGAAATAAGTAGTATAGAAAAATAAGGGTCGAATCCTCAGGGACTTAGAAAATCACAATTTAATGTTTGAATGGTTCTAACCAGGCGAAAATAGTAAAAAAAAAGGTTTGTAATATGAGATTAAAATGGTAAAAATAAATAAAAGCAATTTAAATAAAAAAAAATAAGAGAATAAAGTTTGTGAATAAATACGGTAAAAATAGCCTCAAGCTTCGCTTTGACTCAATTTCCTTTAGATCATCGAATAAGATTTTCTCTTCGGGATTCACGTCGGTTACTCTGTCTACAAGGACTATCCCCGTGACTCTATCTTGTATACCGAATACCCAAGACAACCTTTGATTCCGGCTTCGGGAATTGATTCTATCAACATCAATTGTCGTAGATCAATTACCGTTTAAGTTCGTGGCGACCGACTCGGATTGTTGCTTCAACAAACGATAATTCCGATCTCAATTTCCTCTTGACGAAGCCATCTCGCCAAGTGTGTTCCCAGGAAGTCGAATTTGCTTTCTATAAGCCGAATCTTCCTCTCACACATTTAATCGCAACAACCTCTTGACCAAAGTCGATCTTTGATTTTGAAAACTGTTTTGATTTTGAAAAATAAGCGCAAAGATTGAGAGAGATATTCCGAAGATATTGAGGGACCGCTTCAATTCTCCCGTTAGAATTGAATTATCGCGACAACTCTCGGCTTATGAAAAGCTTAGCTAAGCATGACAAAAGTCATACTTAGCATAAAAAAAACTTGAAAAATAAAGAAGAAATAAAAACTTTGAAAAATAAAAAGCTTAAATAAAACAAGAGAGAAAAGAAGAATGTAATATGGATGATGAGTTTAGGCTTACCCCAAGTGGGTATTTATAGCCTCTCAAAGCTTAAAGGATAAACAAAGAAAATAATAAAATAATACAAAAGATAATTGTTTTTAAATTTAAATTCAAACTTAAACTAGTCTCCTAATGCAACTCTGCTCGTCAATCTTCCAGAAGGCGTGCGGACGAAGTCTTCTAGAAACCGCTGCTGACTGGACCTTCTAAAAACTGCCACGTCAGACCGCGTCGTGCCCATGTCTCCAGCCATGACCAAATAATAAAAAAATACAGAATTCACCCGTTTTATCACTAATTCTGGAAATTAAGGACATGCACGAAAACAAACACAACACGACCAAATCAGCAGTAATAAATCCACAAAACCGAAGAAATAACGAGCAAATATTAACGATTCCTGAACACTCATCAAATTCCCCCTCACTTATCTCATGCTTGTCCTCAAGTATGATTAACCAAATCAGTCAAAAACTTCATTAAACGTTCTTTTGTCAAGTTTCACATTTATGGAAGCAAGGTAGGGACCACAATAACTATTCAAGTCAAGAAATCAATCAATTGAATATCACCAATTGGAACAAGTCAAGTGCAATTGTAATATTCAATCATTCATTAATCTCAATGCTCATAACTCAACACCTTACCGGGATTCACTCAAATCACTCAATGTGTTTGGGGTAAAGAAACGCTCAATGTCAGAATTGACACGGTATTACCATAAGCCTGCAAGTAAATCAAATCTCCACTACTAATGAGAACAAAATGTATAAATCAAAGGGTCTTTTATTGGTTGTAACGGGACTTAGGTAAAGGTGGGGAAAAGGCTAAAAATATGGCTAAAATTCAAGGCAAGGAACTAACAAATAATAATCTCAACTCCATCAAAACATTAAGCACAACAAGATAAAAAGACGACATATTAAACAACAATTTTCTCGTCGTAATGCATTTTTTCTTTTTCACACTTTTATTGTTTTGTTTTCTATTTTTTCTTTCATGTCTTTTTTTTCTTTTTCTTTCGAACAATTTTTTTTTCGAACTGCTATATTTTTTTTCAACATTTGTTTTCGATGGAGAACATAATGGTAAAATTATTCACTTGCCCTGAAAAAGGTAGAAAAGATTGATAAAATAAAAAAAGGCTCAGGTTTATGAACATGGTGAAAACAAAGAAGCGGGAATATGCTCAATAGTGGTTAACTAAGGGGAAAAATGCATGGGTAAGCTATTTAGTGGGGAAACAGAATGGTTAATCCTAAGGTGCCCAAATCATTTTTAAGTATCATGTTCATGTGTAATCTCGACAGTATTTAACATGCAGGTTCTAGAATACCAATTCCAAATTCAACACACTCAATCAAACAAAATGAGAGCGAAAATGATATGCTTGTAAAGGCTCAAATCTCACCAAATTGTTTTCATGCTCTGATTTAATCACATTTCAACCAACAAAATCATGGAGTATCACAAAAACACCAACTTATTACAATTCATGTTATTCGCTATCAAGAATATCCTAACATAAACAATCATGTGTTCCCAAACAATCATAGCATTCCAAAAATTTTCAACAAGACAAAAACAATCAATGAAATTTCTGACCAATTCAACCAACACATACTAGATTCAAAGCATAAAGACAAGCGAAATGAAATTCAATCATACACTCTACTCCCCTTCATTTAAAGCGTTATGCCTCAAAATGAAAAATTAAAATTAAAGTGCAAGAGAAGGAATAGAGTACTCCCCGGATTTAATGTCGACCACAACCATGGTGGGAGGCAAAATTGGATTTGATGTCATGAACTAGAAGCATGGTTAGGTTGTGTCGTTGGCGGAAAATCGGCTTTGAAATCCTCTGTAAAACCATAAATCGGATGGTACATTAGTAATAGTTGAATGAAAATATGATCAGAATTTACCTCCGAAGTATTTTCCGATGTCGTCGAATGCATCAATCACGACAGAAAATTTGACAGGCGTGGATGCGAGAGAGAGGAGCAGGTGGCGACGGAAGGGAGTCTGAATCACTCGGGTGAACGAGCTGTGGCGTCGCCCTACTGGTTTCTTGTGCGCACCATCGTGGAGTGGAGAGGAGTGGACGGTTTGAAGCACGTTAGCATGAACAGAACGAGTTCTTCATTGAAACCGCCGGCGGTGAGGAGAAGGAGGGGGAGGGTTCGTGCGTTGGGGGGCGATCGGGTATGAAGAGATGAAGATTAGAAGTTTGGTTTAATTGGGTTTAGTTTGGTAGTGTCGTGCGTGGGAGGGGAGGGGTGTTTGAGTTTGAGTCAAAGTGGATGTTATTTTTTAGGATAATGAGTGGTGAAAATTGAAAAAGAATGGATTGATGGGATAAGGTGGGGGCCACGATATAGTAAAAAGGGGAATGGGAGAAGGTGGGCGGCAGAGGAATCAAAATAGGGGGAAAATAATTTTGGGTTTGGCTAACGTGCGCCGAGCTCTCCCTTGGAATTTACTAACGTGCGTGTTTAATGAAACGGGGCGCACAGCTGAGTTCCCCTTTTTTTCTGCTTTGCTCGACTTTTTACTGCTCAATATACTCCGAAATCAGCAATGTTCGAATCATAATTTCGTAAATCCTCATCGTTTAAGTTTGAATAAAAATATTCGATTCCTGCAAAAAAAATAATAAAAATTAAATTAAACATGCTTGACCGAAGAAAAATAAAAAAATATAAAAAAATATAACGCAATTGAAAACAATGGGTTGCCTCCCATGAAGCGCTTTTGTTTAACGTCATTGGCTCGACGACCTGATTCAGACTACAGGTTCCGTGACAGACTCTTCCACTTCATTCGCTTTTTCCAACTAAGAAATTTCTTATGAGAAATTCGAAAATTCTCATCAAGATTTCTTCGGATTTTTCCCAAATTAAAAAGAATGTCCATCCAAACATCTTTTTTACCAAAAACTGATTTCTTTAAATGATTCCTTGACATAATTTTTGGTGCCTGCAAAAGAGAAGGTAAATCTTCAGTGTTTAAAGGAGTTAAGATCAAATCTAGTTCAACAACTGAAATATTTTTCCACTCCCTTATGTCGTCTTTTTTATCATCCGATTTCCTATATAAATCATCAAAAAAGTTAGATTAATCATCAACAAGCTCAGTAACGCCAACAAAATTGATACTATGCACATTATTCGGATATCTTATTGCTTTATAAACATTAAATTTTATGATCTCACCGTCGAACTCCATAGTAAGAATACCGCTTCGAACGTCAATTTTTGTATTTGTCGTGCTTAGAAAGGGACGACCGAGGAGGATTTCAGAACCAATGTGGCTACGATCATTTTCCATATCAATCACATAAAAATCAACAGGGAAAATTTAATTCTTCTACCTCTATTAGAACATTTTCTATGAGTCCTTCAGGACAAATAATTGATTTGTCGGCGAGCTGAAGTGTAACTCTCGTCTCCTTCAAAGGCTCGGTGGAAATTAAATTATAGACGGAGAGAGGCACATTACATTGATAGAGGCACCTAGATCGCACATGGCTTGCTTAATCCTAATTTTACCAATTTTACAAGGTATTGCGAACATACCTTGGTCTTTCAGTTTCAGTGGTAACTTTCGTTGGAAAATAGCTGAGACATGCTCTCCCAAATTTACCTTCTCGTTTCTGGTCATTCGTCTTTTATTAGTGCAGAGATCTTTAAGGTATCTGGCATACCTCGGTACTCTGGATTATATCAAGAAGCGGAATATTTATTTCCACTTTCCGTAATACATCCAAGATTTTCCTCTCCTCTGATTGCTTGTCTCTTTTAATGAATCTTTCATGAAACAGAGGCGGAATGTCATAGGGAGATGGTGCAGAATTAATTTTCGATTCATCTTCATTATTTTCTCGGGATTATGTGTCAACTGCTGCTTCTTTCTCCTGTAGTTCGAATTTTCTTCTTTCTTCTGGGATCATGCGCTTACTTCCTTTGGATCTGGTTATTCAACAATTATACCGCTTCGGAGGGTGATGTCGCTAACATTCTCTATATGATTCGGCTTATTTTGTGATGATAGCCTCTTTTGTGACTCTAATCTCCCCACGGCTTGAGTCAGTTGGCTTATCTGTTTGTCCATCTCTTGGAAGTGGGCTTCAGTTCGAGTCTGGAATTTTTCCTAAGATAGTGCTAACCTCTCGACAATCGATTCTAATGATGACTTCTACGGTTGTTGCGATGGTGGAGGTCTCGCTTGATAGCCTTGATTCGATCTCAGGTTCTGAGCATAACTGAAGTTCGGATGATCCCTCCATCATGGGTTGTATGTATTACCGTAAGAATTATAAGCTCTTTGGGGAGGTCCCGGAAAGTTTCCGACTGCATTAACTTGAGATGATGCGTCATCTTGAATCAATGGACAACCGTCTGTCGGATGATCAGGTAATGCACATATTCCACATAATCGGTTTTGTCATGTCTTTCCTACAACAAGAGAGTTTACGACTTCAGTTAACTTGTCTATTTTATTTTCTAAGGAATATGAACTTATCTCATGAACCCTTCGAGAAGGTTCATTATTTGCGCGGAACTGTTGGGAATTTGCAGCCATCGTCGATATTAAGTCTCTTGCCTCAGTAGGAGTCATATTCACCAAGGCTCCACCGCTGGCTGCATCGATCATCTTCATTTCCAGGGGAGATAATCCTTCATAAAAGTATTGAAGGAGTGTTTGTTCGGTTAACCCATGTTGTGGGCAACTAGAACATAACTTCTTAAACCGCTCCCAGTAGTCGTAGAGTGATTCTCCATCAAATTGCTTTATTCCAAGTATTCTTCTGCGTAGTTCACTTACTTTTGCCACAGGGAAAAACCTATCAAAAAAAGACGAGTCATGTGAGCCCATGTAGTTACAGAATTAGGAGGTAGATAAAATAACCACTCTTTAGCCGAATCGGCTAAGGAAAAAAGGAAAGCTCTAAGTTTTATTTGGTCATCGGTTACTCCCTGTGGTGTCATGCTGGAGCAGACCATGTGAAATTCCTTGAGATGTTGGTGTGGATTCTCGTTTGGCAATCCGCGAAATATAGGGAGGAGATGAATAAGGCCGGTTTTCAATTGGTACGGAGTTTCACCTTGGGGAAAATCGATGCACATAGATCCTTGTTCAGTGGGTGTCGCGGCTAACTCTCGAATAGTAGGTTCGGCCATCGAATTTGTATTACCTGAATTTGATTCTTCTTCTGGATTTGTTTGGTGTCTCCTTTCCCGAAGTGTTTGTGCATGGAGTCTCCTAGCTTCAGCTTCGATCTCCAGGTTGTACTCCACTAATGTGCCCGGATTAGTCCTGGTTATAAATCAAAAGCAAACAAAAAATTAGTAACTTTGGCGAAGTCCCCGGCAATGGCGCCAATTTGACAACTGTCGTTTCGGTGTCAAAATAAATTTCTTATTCTCAATCAATAAATAAAAGAAATACGTAGTATAGAAAAATAAGGGTTGAATCCTCATGGACTTAGAAAATCATAATTTAATGTTTGAATGGTTCTAACCAAGCGAAAATAGTAAAAAATAAAGGTTTGTATTATGAGATTAAAATGATATAAATAAATAAAAGCAATTTAAATAAAAAAATAATAAGAGAATAAAGGTTGTGAATAAATACGGTAAAAATAGCCTCAAGCTTCGCTTTGACTCAATTTCTTTTAGATCATCGAATAAGATTTTCTCTTCGGGATTCACGTCGGTTACTTTGTCTACAAGGGCTATCCCTGTGACTCTATCTTGTATACCGAATACCCAAGGCAACATTTGATTCCGGCTTCGGGAATTGATTCTATCAACATCAATTGTCGTAGATCAATTACTGTTTAAGTTCGTGGCGACCGACTCGGATTATTGCTTCAACAAACGATAATTTCAATCTCAATTCCCTCTTGGCGAAGCTATCTCGCCAAATGTGTTCTCATGAAGTCGAATTTGCTTACTATAAGCCGAATCTTCCTCCCACACATTTAATCGTAACAACCTCTTGACCAAAGTCTATCTTTGATTTTGAAAACTGTTTTGATTTTAAAAAATAAGCGCAAAGATTGAGAGAGATATTCCGAAGATATTAAGGGACCGTTTCAATTCTCCCGTTGGAATTGAATCATCGCGACAGCTCTCGGCTTATGAAAAACTTAGCTAAGTATGACAAAAGTCATACTTAGCATAAAAACAAAACTTGAAAAATAAAGAAGAAATAAAAACTTTGAAAAATAAAAAACTTAAATAAAACAAGAGAGAAAAGAAGAATGTAATCTGGATGATGAGTTTAAGCTTACCCCAAGTGAGTATTTATAGCCTCTCAAAACCTAAATGATAAACAAATAAAATAATAAAATAATACAAAAGATAATTGTTTTTAAATTTAAATTCAAACTTAAACTAATCTCCTAATGCAACTCTGCTAGTCAATCTTCCAGAAGGCGTACAGACGAAGTCTTCTAGAAACCGCTGCTGACTGGACCTTCTAGAAACTGCCACGTCAGACCACATCGTGCCCAGAGTCGTGTCCATGTCTCCAGCCATGATCAAATAAAAAAAAAATACAGAATTCACTCGTTTTATCACTAATTCTGAAAAGTAACATGAAAACAAGCACAACACGACCAAATCAACAGCAATAAATCCACAAAATTAAAAAAATAATGAGCAAATATTAACGATTCAGAACAATCATCACCTATGAATATGATTATAGACGATCATCACAACACCAGCAACAAACATCATCAACAGCAATACTGGATGTTATTTCATGGAGTGGAACAACGATGGCAGCTCTTCTATCAAGGCCAAGATCCTGGCTCATCCTCACTACCATCGTGTCTTGGCCGCCTATGTCAATTGCCAAAATGTGGAAACTGAAACCTAAACTAAACTAAATAGCGGAAGCTTTTATAAACGCATCGTCAATCTAGTTTCTCATTTGTTTTGCTAGTGCTTTTCTGTATTGAAAGCGAGACGTCCCGTATTCTTTGTGAGTAGGAAATACGTATGATGGGGACACGAGTCTCAAGTTTCTTGCTTTTTCCCCCCTCTAATGGAAGCAGCATTAACTTTAACAAAACCAATCAGGTAGGAGCGCCGCCTGAAGTTGTGGCTAGGTTGGAAGAAGCATGCGCGTCCGCCGCCACTACGGGTCCTGCAAGGATCGGCTGCATAGGCGAGGACCCAGCACATGACCAGTTCATGGAGGCTTATTGTGAGATGCTGACTAAATACGAGCAGGAGCTCTCTAAACCCTTCAAGTAAGCCATGCTTTTTCTCCAAAGTGTTGAGTGTCAGTTCAAAGCCCTCACAGTTTCCTCTCCAATTTCTGGTGATAATGCTCTCTACCCCTCCCAAATTTGATTATTTGTAATATTATATTTTAAAAACAACATGCATGTCTATGGATCATGGGACATGTTTCATTAATAATTAACAAAAACAAATTTCATTCATTCCTTTTTCTTTTTTACATCTTCCTCTCTTTGTGCTTTTTCCTGTTAAATGCTCTTCAAAATTTCTGCTGCATCCTTTCATATCTGATATGTAAGTGTTCTTATTCATCTTCTTGATGCGGATTAAGAAAATGAAATAAGTGATGAAAAAAACAATGAAAATATATATGCGTTGCAGCTTTTTAGGGCTAGCCTACATGATATTGAGATTCAAAGGTACTGAAGTGCTTAGAAAACTGAAAGGTATTGTTCAAAGACCATAATCATGATGTCAAAGAGAATAATCAGAACTTTTGAGAATTTAGGGCTCGATTAAACGAGGGTTGCAGATGGATTTTGTTTAGGGTATTAAATTGGAAGGGCAATGGGGACTGAGTTTCTTGAGTAGGGTGCCGATACAATTTCTCAGTGATGTCGTGTTCTATTTTTGATACATTTTCTTGAGTTTTCTATTTTATGGACTTGCATTTAGGTTTAATCTGGCGTTTGGAGTAGTTTGATTAGCATTCAGATACATCATACAAGTCATCTGCAAGTGACTTAGGGTTGGCGCTGCTCTTACATGTTTTGTTTTCAACCTTGGTACTTTCATCTCATACATTTTCCGATGATGACTTTGTTGAAGGCATCAGTATAAAATTCCACGAGTTATTCAATTCTGGTGATGCCGGCTTCTTTGTATTTGAACGTGCTCCGATTGCTATTATCTTGTACCATATAAGGATTTCGGTTAAAACGAAAATTAATTATAGTAGCTTAGTTTAGGTGTTTATTTAAAGGAAATGAATGCCTACAGAGAACCCCAAATCTCTAGATAAAGCATGGCAAAATTCGCTTTATAGACATCTGATCGATTGAAGTCTACTCGGTTCTTTTTCCCCTTTGTATGGGCCAGTGTGTCTAGAAATTCTTGAACCTTAATGTTGATCAATTCAAATTGTGTTACATGTAAAGTATTGTTCATCTTCATGGCTTAGTTTGCTGGTATAACTCGAAAGCAGAGCAGGCTTCATTATCTCCCGAGAATTCTCGAGCTTTTGCGGTCTCGTAAGTCAATGTGTGTGTGTTTAACATGATGCATACAAGTAACACCGTGTGTAGCAACCTTGGTGTGTGTAGAAATCTATGAACTTGATTGATTTGGCAATATGCTGCCCCCTTTTGTTTTGAGCAACTAGGAGACATTATTCTAGATTGCTTACTATTCATTTATATTCAGCTTGTGGAGAGGGTATTGACAGGAATGTAGCATCCGAGGAAGATGTTGATGTGAATAACAATTCCATCGATCCCCTCGCCGAAGATTGAGAACTTAAAGGTCAGTTACTGCGGAAATACAGCGGATATTTAGGCAGTCTGAAACAGGAGTTCATGAAAAAGAGGAAGAAAGGGAAGCTGCCTAAGGAAGCCAGGCAACAGCTGCTGGACTGGTGGAGTGGACATTACAAATGGCCTTACCCATCAGTAAGTATACGTCACAGAACTTATTCCAAATTTCATCTCCTTTCTCTGTTAACCGAACATGCCAACAGGAGTCACAAAAGCTTGCGTTGGCCGAGTCGACCGGTCTGGATCAGAAGCAGATAAACAACTGGTTCATCAATCAAAGGAAAAGGCACTGGAAACCATCAGAAGATATGCAGTTTGTGGTAAAGGATGGCACACATCGGCACTATTATATGGACAATGTGTTGGCCAATCCCTTTCCTATGGATCTCTCACAGACTCTTCTGTGAAGGGTCAAAATTCTTGTGCCTTCATTTCTGCTGCTGGCAAGAAGTTTGAAGGCTACTAATGCATTTATTTGCAAGAAAACTGTGATATAATGAAATTTGGAGTATAGTTTTATGTTATATTATTCTATGTTGATATGCACTTTGAGACTATTTATTCTATGTAATGTGTATTGATTAAGTTTCGACTCTTATCAAGATATATATATGATATCGTTTACTTATTTTGGACTGTTTTTTGTTTTCCTGAATCCCTATCAAGATGTCGTTTCGTGTTCACATATATCTTAAATATGTAACGCGCTTCCTTTTTATGCTTCAATTTGTTGACTTATTTGTAAATCCAACTTTTCTTTCTATCTAATCGCTTCTGTTCTTTTATTTTTCTTATTCAGTTGTACGGAGTGTGAAATTATTAACATCATTTTAAAAAAATAATTTTATATTCTAATAATTAAGTATTATTATTATTATTTATTTCTGTACTAAATTAAATAATATATCGTAACATTCTCGAATATTATATAAAATAATTTTATTCTTAAAGATAATTTTATATTTCATGAATTAAAAGCTCCTTCAAATAATCTCAAAGTTGTGATTTGATGATCAAGCGAATATAAAAAACAGGGGTTTAAAATTATTTGTCTGATATGGAGTTGTAGTTTCTTAGCCTGAAAATTTTGTCCGGCCACTATGACCTGCAGGGTGTTCAAACCAAACCATTGAAGGAAAGTGCATTGTTCATACCTTCCAACAACTATATTAAGCTTAGAACGTTGGGGCTAAGACTACTATTGCAGATTCCAATATAAAGACGCTACCGGAGTCTTTACATAAGATACAAAGTGAAAAAAAATAAATTATCAATAAAAAATATCTAAAATATATAATAATTTAAAATTTTCAGAGTGCTTATCCGTCCTTTACACTCGATCGAGTTGTTGCGTGAGTACTATGACATGCAGGGAACTCGAGAAAAGCATTTTTTCCAGAGTTTTAAGATAAGGTGTGAAAGAGCGTTGGCAAAACATGAACAACCTGATTTAATCTTAATTAACACCAGATTTAATTTGAATCCAAGCAGGAAAACTGAAGGTAACTGTCACAATTCTTCATGTGGGGCTGCAATTCATAAAAGGAAACAGCTTTAGTCACGTTAACAATGTGGAAGATAACCATATGTTATACACTTACTATTTCCTTTTATATTTAAACACGCAAGACTCCTTGAAATCATTCATTCCCTTGCACAAACATGGCAAACGGTGTCGTTCTTCTCCTTCTCTTCCACCTTCTAGTGATGAGTTCGATTGCATATGTTGTAGAAGAGAGATCGATATATTTGATTTTAATGGAAGGAGAACCAGTAGCATTTCATGGAAGAAAATTCGATACCAACAGGTGACAAATCATCTTAGTACTATAATGTTGGAATTCTGATGTTCAAAATTGTAGTTTAACACTGTTTGTTTTCAATATTGAATGATTAGTGAAGCTTCCAAAGATCATGCAAAGAAGTTGGTCGATTCTCATGATCAAGTTCTTCAAAGAACTCTAGATAAGGGAAGCTATAACAAGTTATACAGCTTCAAACATGTTCTTAATGGCTTTGCTGTCCACACAACACCATCCCAGGTTGTTTCCTAGTACTTCGTTTTAGTGTTTTACCCATTGTTTCATTCTCTCATACTGTAATCGCCATGAAATTTTCAGGCTAAGAAACTACAACATGCTCCGGGAGTGAAGTTGGTTGAAGGAGATAGAAGAACCAAAGTGATGACTACTTACACTCCTCAGTTCTTAGGGTTATCGCAAACCGTGTGGACTCAAGAAGGAGGCGATCAAAACGCAGGAGATGGGATCGTAATCGGTTTCGTAGACACGGGGATTAACCCTTTTCACCCAAGCTTTGCTTATGACATACTCAATCCTTTAACGTCCAACATCTCTCATTTTTATGGTGCATGTGAGACTGGTCCTCAATTCCCATCGTTTTCATGCAATGGTAAGATAGTTTCCGCGAGGTTTTTCATAGCCGGAGCTCAAGCTCTCTCTCCGCTTAATGCTACGATAGATATCCCATCACCGGCTGATGCAGTAGGCCATGGAAGGTAAGTGTATGAAACAAATAAGGTAACATATTAACTTCATGTTTATGTATATTGGTTTGTAACGCTGGAGACAATGTGTTCTTCGGATCAGCCACGTAGCATCGACTGCAGCCGGAAACGCCGGGGTCCCTGTGGTGGTTAACAGCTTCTATTATGGACGAGCCAGTGGGATGGCACCACGAGCAAGGTCCGTTTTGCTTAACTCATTATTATGAGATAATTGTAGTAATGATATTGAACATTGGGTTCTTTGTCGTTTTCGGAAATAGAGTTGCTGTTTATAAGGCTGTCTACCCTACAGTAGGAACAATTGCGGATGTAGTTGCAGCTATTGATCAAGTAGGGCTCTGATATCTACATCAGTTTCTAATACAACAATGCACAACTTTCATGCAAGTTTCTAATATAATTTGAGCTGGGAACACCACAGGCAGTAGCAGATGGAGTGGATATCTTAAATTTGTCGATCGGACCGGATGAACCACCACAAGATACTGTCACATTCTTGAGCTTTTTCGACATAGCCAT